CATTTTAAACCCTTCCCACACTCTTGCAATACTCTAAACAATGTTTCTAAATGCCCCAAAAGTTCCCAGAATGTCATGATTTCAGCTCCCTGCCTCCACTGCTCTTTGCCAACTGCAAGTGCTCTTGGCCACGCCCACTTCTCCACTGCACAGAGATCGACAGAGGAGGGAGGAGGAGCTTCAGGAGAAAGTTTCTCCTGCAGTGTGGGCTGCTTAACACCTGCTGCACAAATGTGCAGTAGGTGTTAAGTAATTTAAAATGATTTAAAAAAAATAAAAATTCCATGCCGATCGTGCAGCTCATCCATCAATCAGCCATTTGTGTGTCATGTCCAATCTTATTTTGAAAAACCGAGAGAGAGTGAGTCCACGATAAATGAACGGTGAAGTAGTGAGGGACTACTGTAACTGCTGTTATCAAATCTTGTGATATTGTTTGAGTTTGCACTTTATTTTCAAGATTTAACCAAAATGAATACAACTTCATTCAACAATATTAGTTTAAAAAAGTGGCATGAACGGAAAGCAAGGGGCGATATGCATTCCTTCAGGGAATGCTATGTCTTTATTGATTATTGTTGTTTACTTGATATTCACTGATTCATTATTGACCTTCATCTCATGATTTAGTAAAAGACAGTGGTGCTTAAGCTTTTTTCTATTGAAGCCCTCTCACCTGTTTCAAAGAAAAACTTCACCCTCTGCTCACTGCCCAGCATGCATCTGTACAGACAGGATACATTTACCTGAGGGCACTTTGGTAAATGTGATGCAATCTGGTCCATTAGAACCCTCTTTCTGTTCTTCAGGACAACTGCGCCACATCTCAAAGCTGAAACCGTGGAGCTTGATGGAGATCCTGCTGGATAAATACGAGTGGCCACAGGAGGAAGCTGCCCACTTTAGTTCGTTTCTCCTGACCATGTTGGAGCTGCAGCCACAGAAAAGAGCCACAGCTGCTCAGTGTTTGAAACACCCCTGGATTACCTCCTGAGATGTAAAACCTCGGTCTTACAGAGCATGGCTGACACGTTCTGTCACACAGGACGACTGTGGCTACAACTTGGTGCTGGCATCATAACAGACATCTTTCCGTCATACTTTGGACTCAAGCTGGACTTTTTTCTTACTTTGAGTTTGTTGTTTATTTTAGTATTTTAGTAGCTGTCAAATTAAACAGCAGCAGCCAAAGAAAGGTTTTTGTCTTACTAAATACATAGTTTTAATAAACTAACGTTTGAATTATTTGGATGTTGTGCAACACTTTAGTCAAGAACTCATGTCAGAGGTACAGCTTTGTGAGGAATCAAGTTTGAGGGATTATTCTCACTTACTGCAGGGGACATGCAGCTTGCCTGCTCATACATAAGAAACAAGTTACTCCACTTCAGCGGTTTAGGAGAAAAGGGCAAAAACATCTGAATGGAAGCAGGGTACTTCCTGTTCTCAACCATTAATTTAGTCATCTAAAACAAATGTAAAGAAGCAGCTCAGTCCAGGAACAGCTCTCTGGGTGTGTGACTGTGCAGAGTGTGATTAGACTGCTGCACATTCCTTTCATGCACACATTCAGCACAGCTCTGAGTGGAGGGGGGGGGGGGAAAGAGAGGGAGGAGTTAGTTTCATGTAATCGGAGGCATGTGTCAGGCGTTCTGAAAACAGGTTTTCTAGTAAGGACAGGAGGTGAGAAGAGGAGAGGAAACACCACCTGCATACACGTGTAAGTCCTGCTTTCTCTTGAGGTTTTGGTAAAAAAGAAAAACATTTAAGGAACACATGAGTTGTTCAGTTCTTCAGAAGACCTTGTTGAGGAAATGTGCTACACTCTCGCTTTAGAAAACAAAGATGACGTTTGTTTAATCATACTGATCAGTGGCGCTGTCAGTACAGTTCATGGCCTTCTGACAACCTTTACCAGACTTGACTGTTTCTTTACATTTAGGCTGTAATGTAGGCATAGTGTTGTGTGCACCTCTGTCATGCACTTCTGCATTTCAGTTTTGTTTGTTCAGAGGGAGCCAGTGTAAAGGTTAAAATCTCAGACCCCTGCCTTTGGAAACAGCTTTGAACCCCCAGCCAGTTGCCACGCAACTCGAACTCCAAGTCAAAAGGGATTACTTAAGCTAACCCTGGTTCTGTTCAGTGCATTGTTTGCACCAGGTAGTCTTGTTCCAGCCATGCCGTGCACCACGTTCCCACAGAACTGGAGCTCCTAGTTAAGATTCAAGCTGTGCTTTTCTCTTGCATTGCTTTTTGTTTATCAGTGCTGCAGCTCCTGAGAGGATAGCTGCTTACAAAGTGTGTTTTTCACAGCTGATTTTTATTTTACAATGGGATCATTATATTGAGTGGGTGTACGGTTTGGACGTGACAGCAGCAGCTGGTAAACAGGAGCAGCTACAGTACTGTACGCTGCATAGTGAACACCCATCTCATTAGCTCAACACAAAGGAAGAGATGAGATGAGGACAGACAGGAGAGCTGCTTGATCTTTCTTTAGCTGATGTTTGCACTGGCTCTCCACTTTCTGCATCATTTATAACTGAGTATTCCATAATTATAATATCATATAAAAATTTATACCTATATAGACTGATGATTTACTAATGTTTCTGCTTTCTGTTTTGGTTGCAGAATGTGGCAGACTCTTATTTACAGTCTCATCGGAGGAGCGGCTCTGCTGTACGCTCTGTACAGCTGGGTGATCCCCTCCATTGTGCAGTACCATCCAGATTTGGCACTTATTTGGCATGACAGATTCGTGCAGCAAGTGTTGAACACACTGACCCAGTCCACGCGTCCTCAGGTGTGTTTTAACTCAGCATCCGGCTCTCACAAGATCAGCTGACACATTAGCTAAAACGGTAAACATTATTTAGAGCCCCATGTCAGAAAAGTTGGGATATTGTGTAAAATGTAAATATATTCAGAAAGCAATGATTTGCAAATCTCATAAATTCATGAACCCATTAAACTTATCAAATATTTAAAGGAAAAAAATGTCCTGTTTCTTTAAAATAAAGTAATTTAGGATTTGATACAGCAACTCATCTAAAACTTGGGTCAGGGGCAACAAAAGGATGTGAAAGTAAGTGGTGTAAAAAAGAAATTAATTTGGTTGATTGGCAATAATTCAGTAAGAGGACTGGGTATAAAAAATATTTTAGAGGTTGAGTGTCTTAAAAGTAAAGATGGGCAGAGGTTAACCAGTTTGCAAAATAAAGGTGTCTGAGCATCCCATCATCTAGAGTTCATAATATCAAAAGATTTCAAGAAACTGGATAAATCTCGGAACTTAAGGGACAAGACTGACCGTTAATGTTGGATTATCATGATTTTCAGGCCTTGAGGAACCACTGCATTAAAAACAGGTCGGATTCTGTTCTGGACATCACTTCATGGGCAATAAATCAATTCAATTCAGTTTATTTATAAAGCGCCAATTCACAACAGAAGTCATCTCAGGGCACTGAACAGAAACATTCATATACACTGTATAAAAATAATAATTTAACATTATTTATCTGAGGAGCAGACTGCTTTGAATTTACTTCATCACAGACTCATCTTGAGCAAGCATGAAGGCGACAAAAAACTCCCTATTGAGGAAGAAACCTTAGCAGAACCAGGATCAGGACAAGCGGCCATCTGCTTCGACTGTCTGGATTTGAGAGGAACAGATACACAATGGCAGGTCAAGAATCACATGTTAATAGAAATAGTATCAAATGAAAACTTCAATTTTAACTAATCATTTAAGGAAATGAGGTTGATTTGTCCTCTAGTAGTCTAATCCTATAGCAGCATAACAAGCCAACCCTAACTATAGGATTTATCAAAAAGGAAAGTCTTAATCCCAGTCTTATGGTGTAGAGGCAGGGCAGCCGGCTTGGGACCCGAGAGTCCCAGGTTCGATCCCCAGTCACTGCAAATCACGTGGCGTCTCTGGGCAGCACGTCTAATCCCCAAAATGTCCCCCGGGCGCTTTCAATAGCTGCCCACTGCACCACCTGGTGGTGGATGGGTTAAATGCAGAGACTAATTTCGCCATTGTATGGAAACATACAGTGCTGACATTGTGATGACATTATTATTATTATTATTAAAACTGGATAATGTATCAGCCTCATGGACAGAAACTGGAAGTTGGTTCCACAAGAGAGGAGCCTGATAACTGAAATAAAAAAATCACTGTCTCTAAACACAGTTCACGATGCCCTCCACAAATGCTGGTTAAACCTCTATCATGCAATGAAAAAGCAAAATTGGGAAGCCGTCCAGCATCACTGCCGACCACAGCTCTTTTAAAAAGGACTGAGTGAAGGTGGAAACCTGTTCTGTTGATAGACAAAACAAAATGAGAGATTATTTTTGGTAACTACAGACCCTGTGCTAAAGAAGAGAGAAACCATCTGACTTGTTGTCAGCACACAGTTCAACGTCCTGCCTCTCTGATGGTATGGGGGTGCATTAATCACTGGCACAGACAGCTTACACATCTTGAAAGTATATACAGATTTTAGAACAACATATGCTCTCATCCACACATTTTTTTTAGGGAAGACCTTGCATTTTCCAGCAAGACAATGTTGAACCGTACGCTGCACCCATTACAACAATGTAAGAGTCTGGCTGCTGAACTGACCCGCCTACATTCCAGACTTCCTACTAATTAAAAATGTTTGGGGCATCATGAAACGAAGAAGACCCAGGACAATATTACCCTTTCAAAATCTCCAGCTGCTGGTCTCCTTTAGTCCCTCGATGTTTACAGACTGTTGTTAAAAGAGATTCAAGTGACTTTTAACTTGATTTAAATAAAGAACTCACTCAGCTTTATCAGCTTCATAGTGAGAAATGTGGTCCTGTTATAACTTTATTTCAGACATGTTGCCTTCATCAAATTCAAAACCACTTTATTGTTCAAAGAAAAAGTACAATTTATTTGTTTACTGTGCTTTATTGTGAATAAAATATGGGTTTACAGAAAAAAAATCCATAGTTTTTTTTTTTACATTTTACACAATGCCCTTACTTTTCAGAGTTGGAGTATTTATACACTTTGTTAATGGAAACCTGTACACCTTGATTACTCATTTGTCCTACGGGGTAATCAGAGTACTATTCAATTCAATTCAGTTTATTTATATAGCACCAAGTCACAACATAAGTCATTTCAGGGCACAAAACAGAAACATTCATATATAAAAATAATAATGTAACATTATTTATCTGAGGAGCAGACTGCTTTGAATTTAACTCTTATCACAGAACTCTCATCTTGAGCATGAAGGCGACAGTGAAATGAAAAACTCCCTCATGAGGAAGAAACCTTTAGCAGAACCAGACTCATATATTGAAGAGAACACTTTACATATATTAATTACACAAGCTATTAAAAGTAATATAACTATTTTTTTCCACATTAATAATCACAACTCTTTCCAACTACCAGAAAATAAAATCAGCATATCAGAATGACAAAAACATCCCACCTGCAGTCGAACACAACAACAACAACAACAACAACAACAGTGGACCGTGTTGGGAGACACTAGTGTCAAACTACTCAGTCCAAGAGTTAACTTATAATTTTATAGGAAATGTCTATAGACCCAACATGCCTCAGTTAAATGTTCTGATATGTGAAACTCTACAACTGAAAGAGGGTGTACGTTTTTTTTTTAATGTTGCTGTAAATTGCTTAGAAATTATGCACGATGTAAACATGGAGTAAAATCTCACGTGTGTTTTAAACCCTGGAAATGTAAAAATGGGGTTACTCAGGATTAGTCAGCTGTTCCTAACAACAGCCAGCAGGCATAGAGGTCGACGTACATTCCAGTTTTAAAGGCGTGTCAGCTCAGTTTATTTTAAACACCATGCTGGTTCTGTTCAGTTTACATAGTATAAAATGGTCACTGAAGGTTTTAGTGAGTTTTTAACTAAACTAAGCTTTGCAAATTATTTAAAAATTTGTTAATTTGATTAAAAAATCTTGTCAGAATTTAATTTTTGTTGTTTCATTCGGACACTTTTGTGTTTTCAGCACACTAAACGACAACGTTAACATGTTAACAGGTTTCATGTTTCCATGTTTCCATGTTCGTGTGTTGAGTGTTTAATCAAGAAATGGAAAACAGGTCTGCTAGCAACAGTTAGTGTTTGTTAATTATCCATCCATCCATTATCATTAACCCACTTCTTTGGTCATGGGGGTCACTGGTGCCTATGTCCAACCATCACTGTGCGAGAAGTGGGGACACCCTGGACAGGCCTCTAGTCTCCAGGGACACATAGAGACAACCATTCACTCTCACTCACACCTAGAGACAATGTAGAGTTATCAATCAGCCTAAAATGCCTGTTTTTGGTCTGTGGGAGGAAACTGGAGTACCCGGATGAAATCCTCACATGCACGAAGAGAACATGCAAACTCCACCCAGAAAGATCCCCTGCTGGGATTCGATCCAGCAACCTTCTCACTGAGAGGCGGCAGCTCTACCAACTGCTCCACTGTGCCGCCATTTGTTAATTAGCAAATACAAATTGTCTGTCTGTATTCTAAGAGTTCAGTAGTTCTTCAAAAACCAAAGAATTGAACACAGTGAGCTGACACAACTCTTAGCAAAGTTCCTGTTGAAGAAAATAAATCTCAAGTGTCTAAACTACCTAGAAAACTAGTTGAATTCAGTTTTTTCAACAGTGTCTCATTACAACTCTCATAAAGCTGGACTGATGAAGAACTCTGGCAACAGTTGCTGTATGCTCAGTCTCTCCATGTCACCTGCTGAAGCTTGTAACTCCTTCAGAGTGCTCACAGGGGTCTTGGTGGTCTCTCTTCTTGCACGGTCACTCAGTTTGTGAGGACGGCCCACTGTTGGTTTCCTTCCATTTCTTAATGATGAATTTAACAGAACTCCTCGGGTTGTTTAGAGTCTTCTTGTGTATCCATCCTCTGACTTGTACTTTCAAGTAATCTTTTCTCTGAGTTGAATTAGGACAGTCACTTTAAATGTGATGGATATTTATGCAAACACTTATTTTACTTTACATATTTTTATTTAATTGGCATTACTCTGTAAAAAAAAGATTTCACTTTGACAATGAAGAAAGTTTTAATTTTAAATCTTTTTTTAAACAAGGCCTTTTTTTTTTCTTTATCATGACCAATTTCTAACAGCAATAAAAGGATAAAACATCCAAGGGGGTAAATCATTTTTATAGGCATTGTAAAGCTTATCAATACTTTTGAAAAGGTTAACTAAACAAACTAAACCTATGTGTTAATCATTCAGTGAGGCATCTTATTTATATAAAAGCTGTTTCTGTGAATCACTTGCAGAATATGAAGATAACGGCAGAGGTAGTCCCACTGGAGTTGCATTATAAGAGATTTACTGCTTGTAACATTTTCTTCAGACTATATTGCTCATAATGACAGAGGGAGAAGCCTGCTGAAGGAATATTTGCTCCAATCTAATTGTTATGATCAGTGATAACAAAATGTCAGTGACCTTTTAATAAGTGATTGTTGTTTTTTCTTCCTCCAGCGGCTGCTGGCTGCAGTACAGAAAGATGCCACAAGAGGAGACCCTCGCAGCGTGGTCCAAGCCATCGATCACTTCTGCAGACAGAAAGAGTGGGCCATGAATGTGGGGGATGAGAAAGGTAGAGATATATTCATATTTCATGAGAAAAATTAGCATCATTTTGATTTTCATTTTGTCTTCAGGCCGCATTCTTGATTCTGTGGTGTCTGAGGTAAACCCTGGGGTTGTGTTGGAGCTGGGAACCTACTGCGCCTACTCAACGGTGCGTATAGCCAGTCTGCTGCCGCCTCACGCCAGGCTCATCACGCTTGAATTTAACCCAGACTACGCTGCAGTGGCTCGCCAGGTCATTGCTTGGGCAGGACTGGAGGATAAGGTAAAACAAGGAGCAAACTGGGAGGAAGACGTTTGATGTGCTGGGCTTCAGATCACAGCATGTTTCTTCTTTCTAGATTCAGTTAGTCGTCGGTGCATCTGGAGACTGGATCCCCAAATTAAAGGAGCAGTTTGGGGTTAAAACGTTGGACTTGGTTTTCTTGGACCACTGGAAGGATCGCTACCTTCCTGACACAAAACTAATGGAGGTGAGTGTATTTTCTACAAATCCAAACATCTGGCTTGTTATTGTTTTTTGACACACGGTTTCTGTTCTTTAGGAGTGTGGCCTGTTACGGAAAGGCAGCATCCTGCTGGCAGATAACGTCATCTGTCCTGGGACTCCTGATTACCTCGAGTACGTTCGGAACAGCCCTCGCTATAAAAGCCAGTACTTCAAATCTCACCTGGAGTACACCAAAGTGGAGGACGGCTTGGAGAAATCCACTTTCTTAGGCTAGGCTTTCACTCAAAGCCTCACGTTGTGCACATGCACTAAAACTTAAAACCGCCACGGTTTTTTGGGAGCAGAAAGTGAAAAAAAAAAATCAGTTTTTCTAATCGAGCTGAGTGTAGGAACCTGGAATTAAAAGTGACGTGAAAGAAAAACAAGTGTCTGTGTTTCATGTCTTTACTGGACGCAACGATCCTTCGTTCATGTTTCTAACTGACCCACGAGCTGCAAACTGATCAGCTTTTATCAGAGCAAATCAATTGGAAATCTAATCCAGCTACAATCTGTGGTGCGCAAACCTGTTCTCTAGTGTTGGTCTTTACAGTGAGTGCATGTGTTGTTCGTGTGTTTATGTGTGTGTGTGTGTGTGTGTGTGAGAGAGAGAGCGCATGAATCAAATCGCCGCTCATCTAATCTCTCAAAGTAATGGAGTTTCATCATGCTCAGGGGGGAGGAGGATTTCAGTACATATATAAAAGTATGGGCTTGTCCACCTTCTTCACAGACGCCTGCATGATAATCCCAATCTGAGGCCATTAGTGCACGGAGGGAACAAGCGAGGGAGTCGAGGGTTCAGAGAGCAGCAGGGAGGGAGGGAGGGAGACCGGACAAGAGACATACGGCTAGGAGAAAAAAAAAGAAGGACAGAGAGGGAGAGCTTTTAAAGGATTTGTCTGATTTGGAGATTCTCCTGCTGTGATGTTGCACTTGCCTCTGCTTCTGCCATACCTCACTCTGAAGCCTCATGAGTCTGGTTTCATTTAGACAGAATCTCCTCAACGGAGCGCTGTTTGAAATGTTTTAGGTTGTTTTTGATGCAAAAAGACAATCTGAGATGATTGAGGATTTAGTTTTGACGAGGGGAACAACACCTTGACCTATGGGACGATGTTTGGAGGCCCTTCTGCAGCATCTCACGACATGGATCAACTGAAGACTGGTCCATAAAGAATGGACAGGTAAGAAATGTATCCTTTGTGTTGAAAGGAAATAATACTGCAACAGTTTGTTTTAATGTACTTTAACTTTCTACTCTTGTTAACTGTTTTTTTCTTTTTAACAATTAAGATTTTCGTGCAGAAAAATAGAAAACTGGGTCAGAAATATATGACTATTAGATCACAAGTTCAAACAAAAACATTTTAAAACGTAAAAATTTGATTATTCATTAATATAAAATAAAGCTGTTTTGTTTTTTTGGCACATTAAATTTTGCAAATGTTAAAAAATGAAGAAAATTAAAAGATGAACTGCATTTTGTCAGCGATCCTCATGCAGATGAACCCACTGGAGCTTTTGAAGCGTGAACTGCCGTGACCGTTTACTTGATGTTTTCTGTTTGCAAAATTCATGGTGTTTTCCATCATGGGCTCTCAGCCCGTCGTGATAAAAGCTTCCAGCGTTCACTCTGTTGCTTTCTGAGACTCTGCAACATCTGCTTCCCCCTCCGCACACTTTTTATTTTTAAACGCTTTCATTTTCTGGGTCCAAAAACAAATGTTACATCTTAGGAGATGGTTTTGGATCCACGCTTTAAATAAACTTTATTTTTCTATCAGCAGTTCTTTAATTCAGCACTTAAAAAGATTTGTTTTGTAACAACCAATCAAAACTGTCTGCTTGAATTTCAACTTCAACGGAATTGCAAGTTTTATTGGATTAATCTAAATGAAAATCCTAGAGTTAATTTTATTTTTTACCACAATGCTGACAATTTTCCTTTGGAAGTTTCACGTTCACCAGAGTTAAATAAAATGTGCACGTTCAGATCTCTAAAGATGCTGAACTGCGTCAGGTTCAGACTCAGGACCTCACAAGGAAAACAAATCTCTTTTAAAAAAGTTTCCTGAAGCCACCTCCGTGCTCTCTCGATGATACTCTACAGGATTTTGTCGATATTTAAACCTCCATCTGAAACCTCAAAGACTCAGAGGCTTTTATTTTTGTACTTTCTGTATCCATCTTTCTTTCCCTGCTCTTTGACCCGTATGTGACGGTAGAGATAATATCAGTGCCTGCTTTTATTCCACTTGGCCAAATGGTTTAATCTTTGTTTCATCAAATCAGATTTCACTTCACATGTTATCTGAACATCTAGTAAAATACAGCAGACTGTCATGTACCTTTTAAGTAATAATAGCCACTCTGGACAGTCCACTGTGAGGACTGCTTGCGTGTTACAGTTTCCTAAATGAACCTGTAGATCTGATCCTTTTGCAGCCAGATCCATAAAATCTGATGATTTTCAAATATTTCTGTTCTAGAAGGTTAATGTAAGTTTGGATATTTTAATTTTGCCTTCAGAGGATCTGTGCAGTGACTCTTTCAAAGATCTGCGTTCTCTCAGTCTTTTCTCACTGAAAGTAACGCCATCGACTCAAACCTGACACAGACAGTTGTATATTTCCCGAGTGTGTTCAGTTACTTCTTTAAAGACAAAAACACGACACACCTTAATTATAAGCTTCCTACGTGGGGGTGTTAATTCTCATATGGAATATTTTGTATATTTACAAGCTAAAACAGCTGTTTTAAGGGCAATAACTCGTGCAGTTTGATCAAAGACAATTAATTTTACAGTAACTCAAAATAAATTGCACAAGTATTAAAAGGTCTTCAAACTTTCCAGTTTAAGACTAAGTGACATGTCTCCTGAATGTAAACCCTTAATTTCTCATTTACAAAACTTTACTGCCCCTCCTGTCCCCCCCCTCAGGTGTCAAAGGTAGAGCCTGGTGCTGTCAGTACCTCTACAGGTCATCAACATGGTACTGGAGGCCTGTTCATCGTATCTGTTCTGCTGGCTCTGTTCATTGTCGACCTGCCAGACATGGCTTCAGCTGCTTGGGGTTCTGCTGGTGGGCATCAGCCCACCCTTGCAGGCCCAGCAGGGCTCCCAGCCTCAGTCCATCAAAATTGAAGGTGACATCACCCTCGGCGGGCTCTTCCCCTTACACTCTCGGGGACCTGCTGGTATCCCCTGCGGTGAGATCAAGAGAGAAAAGGGGATCCATCGACTGGAAGCCATGCTGTACGCCCTGGACCAGATTAACAGCGACCCCGACCTCCTGCCGAACATCACGCTGGGAGCACGGATCCTGGACACCTGCTCCCGAGATACCTACGCCCTGGAGCAGTCACTCACCTTTGTCCAAGCCCTCATCCAGAAGGACAACTCGGATGTGCGCTGCTCAAATGGGGAACCCCCCATCATCCCCAAACCAGAAAGGGTGGTCGGAGTGATCGGGGCCTCTGGCAGCTCTGTGTCCATCATGGTGGCCAATGTGCTCAGACTGTTTGCGGTGAGATTTCTCTTTCCTTGTTTCTTCAATGTAGGAATAATTGCAATTGTCTTTCTTCTCAGAAAGTAAGTGGAGAAACTGGGAAGAGGTCATAAAATGTTCACAAAGAAGGAAATCAAACAGTGCATGAGTCAGAACTGTGGTTCCTGTTGAGGGTAGGTAGTCCAACCAAGTCCCAAGATGGTCACAAAGAACATTTAGACCAAACTCTGTTCTATTCTGAACACTTCTGTCACAACAGTTATATCATGAGTTGCATGGTGGTTTAGATGTTTCTACAAGTATCAGAAAAATAAATATAACTTTGAAATTCTTCTACTTTTCAAACCTTTAAAACCCATAATTCACTAATAAAGATAAGGCTACTGGAGCACTGTTTGGGATTTTACCATGTAGGTTGGCATATTCTGAATTTTTTTTGTGAGGATCAAAACTGTAGAAATTAAATTTATTTATCTTGTGACATATGTATCTGATGGACACAAACACTTGTAATGCATTCTGTTACTGTAGGTGTATTGTGTATGTATTGGTTGAAGATTGGAAAAAGTTGCAGTGTACTACTCTGTCAGCATGACCTTGCCGTGGTGTTTTTGCTGATGTGGTGCTCTACATGTGACATTTCTGCAGCCTGTTTTTGGTGTTTACCAGTATCTCCCAGTCACAAGTCCTCCTTGAGTCATGTGGTCTTGTTCAAATGTCAGACTTCTGCTAACATCTAGCCATGTTCTTACCCACCATCATCTGGGTCTTTTTCTTCATGTCCAAACCAAACCCGCAAGAGCAACTTGCACCTGAAACTTTTCAGGGTTTTGGTTTGTGGAATAAATGACAGATGGAAGATATTGATCTCAAAAATATATCCAACATGTTACCAGACAGTAACCTGCACCAAATATTGTGCAGACATGGTGGTATTCTTACAGTATACTGTATATCCAGTGTGCAGCATCAACCACAGTACATAAGCCAGGAGTATCAAAGAGTACACTAAAGTATAGAAGCAATGACAGCTATTACACATAAAAGTGCCAGAAGTACTCTGAGGCAGAGCAGACAGAGCACATGGCGTTATGATGCTTTGCGTCATTGCTCCTCACTTTTTATCAAGGCATGCATGTGAGATATATGACATTACAAAGTGGCTACATTCATGCTACAGAAGTTTTTTCTTTTTTGGCACAATCTCTTAATCCATGGCAACATGGCGTTGCTAAAGATCACTTTGCAGGCCATGCTAGAAGATCATTTA